CGCTCCGATTGTGACGCCCCCCCGCCCCCCTCCCGCCGCTTCTCGTCCCGCCCGCGGCGCTGACCACGCCCTGCTCTCCTGCGGCGGGGGAAGGCGCGGCGTCACGCCGGCCGGACCCCCATCACGACGGCTCGAGGAGCACGCCGGCCAGCATGCCATCAAGACACGCCCACCAGCTGCGCGCTGCTAGACGGGCGTGGGCCGGGCACGATAGACATGAGCGAGCTCGGCGTCAGACGCCGGTGCCGGCCGAGGCGGCGTTCTCGCGCCGGTGCCGGCCGCGCCCGCTTGGCGTGGAACGTCCTCGGTCGCGGTCCGTACCACCCCGGCACCAGCCGCTGGACGGCTGGTGTCGGCAGCGCGGCCCCGGCGCCGGTGAACGCGGCCTGCGCCGGCACCGACCCGTCCCCCATGACATGTCGAACGGCACCGAGAACCCTGCACAACTGTCTTTAGCTCTGCTGGCGACCACACAGCTGCACGCGATCGTAGATCGCAAAACGTCCTGCAGCTTCGACAAGCTTGGACAGAAAACGGCGAGCTTCCGAGAACCGACGCCGCGACATCTGCCGGGCGCCGCAGCTGTGGTTCTGCGGCACCTGTGTGCCGTCACAGCTCCGGTGACCGATGTTCTCGTGCGCCAGTGCGCGAGGACCCGCACCGGCACGGCGGCCCCCGGTCACGTCCGCTAGTGCGGCGAGCCTCGCCGACTGCCGCGCTCCAGGCCGGGCGCGGCCGAGGCGTCGCCGTCACCGACCGCGCGCTCGCGGCACCGACACGCTGGTGGCCGCCGCGCCGACACCGGCGGCAGTGGCTGCCACGCTGCCACGCACCACGGCACCTCTGAGCTCATACCTCTGCCGGCTCCACTCGAGTAGAGATGGGAGTCTTTTGCCGAATCAGGCGGCTATCAAGTGTTGATGACGGAGGAAGGACGCGCGATGGTTCCGAGTCAGACGGATGCAAAAGTCTGCACATCAAGATGGCAAGCGACTGCGGCGACGGCCCAACTCCCTGACAATGGTCATAGGTCTTCAGGATATGCAACCATCGCCAACGTGCGTTGTCACAACGAAGAGTGCTGACGTGGTCTGGTTGTCTTGATCACGCCACGTCGCCATTATCACAGGCGAAATTCATAGCTGGCATGATTCGGCGAATCCATTAGTCTGTTTGATGGCATCTGAGGCTAAAGCGGAAAGAAGAAAGCAGTCCACCCGCTGACGGCCTGATGAAGCATTGATCTCGTCCTGTCTCAGCTTACACACCTGAGTACAGCGGCGGCCCGCAAAACGTGCGGTGGATGGAGACTCCCGTGAGCCCAACGAATTGCGAACAAACTGATGGACTGCAATGCTTCACCTGACCGCAAAACGAATAGAAGGCATGCTAACGACTGCCCGGGGCAATTTTAACACCACGTCACGTCTTCAGTGTGCATCGGTGCCGCGACCTCGCCCCAGCGCCACCGTGTCGCACACGCCGCCAGCGCCGCGCTACACCTCGCCGGACAAGGGGCCTCGGAGCCCCAGACATCTCACACATGCTGCTGAAGACTGGAGGAGCCCGCCTTTCATGCGTCGCGAAAATGACCCCTTTGTCGAGGTCACGGCAGCTACACATCACGGTCAGGCGCCAGATAACGTGCGGATTTACTCTTAACAGTACACGCTCAAGGTCTCTCAGTCTTGATTTGCTGTGTGTTATCATGTTTAATGCTAACGCGATTATGTAAGACGAAGCTTCGGCCCGGGCGGCCAAGGTCAAATTCAAGGCCAAATTCAGTTCACGAATAAGTTTTTTATGACGAGGTCTAAATCATTTTAGGCCGCCTGAGCCAATCTTTGATACTGTACCGCTACGCAGCCCTCATTGTTACATTCTCGTACCATTGTTAGTTTTTGGCATGCAGTGTGAAGCGCGTACGCACCCCCATAACCTCAGTACAATAAGGAACCATATGAGGGGTTACCGGCGATGAACGATTCAGTGTGCAAAGGAGCACATAAGACTGCTCTGCGCGCTGTCAGGCGTGCATTGCACATATAGTTCTGAAGACAGAATGCAAATTAAACTCACTACCTTTTTGTCCAGTTGACCCGGGTGATATGAGTGAGCAAAACCCGGAGCTATCCGAGGTCACTTGCACTGATACCAAAGATGCTTGTCCCACACAAATTTACGCAACGTAGCCGATGCCGGGCTCGGCTTGGCTCTGCCGTGTTGGGTTTGCGAGACGGCAGGACTGTGAATCCCACCTGTCTCACGCAGGTGAGAAATACGCCCGGCTGCGACAGGCTCAATTACGACCACGCATCGACAGGAGCTGCTTCAGTAACGAAAAGTTTTCTCTGAAACACAGCTCATACCAAAACCACATTACTATAACTCCCAATAGTTGTCCCAAACCACGCGCTGCTTGTACAGTTCCGCACATAAAACGGTTTCACGAGAATAATTCATGTTCCTCGGGAATAATCAGTCGCCCCAGTTTATCTGGGCTTGTTCCTCAAGTGTGTCGCCAACCGACCGACACACACCTGGAGCTGGAGGACAAACTGCGCCGTGAAGCGCGGCACGACCCGCGACCCCCGCCCTGACCTCCGCCTCTCTCGCTCGAGCGCCTGACACCACACGGTCAACCGGTCGTCGCGGGACGCCGCTCGAGCAGCGTTCCGCCGCACGAACGGAGCGTTCCGTCGGCCGGCGGAATGTTCCGCCGCCTACGCGGATCATTACGCCGCCGAGCGGAGCGTTCCGTCGTCTGAGTGGATCATTACGCCGCCCGAGCGGAGCGTTCCGCCGCCCGAACGGAGCGTTCCGCCGCCCGCCGCCCGAGCGGAGTGTTCCGCCACCTGCATGGATCATTACGCCGCCCGAGCGGAGCGTTACGTCGTCTGAGTGGATCATTACGCCGCCCAGCGGAGTGTTCCGCCGCCTGAGTGGATCATTACGCCGCACGAGCGGAGCGTTCCGTCGTCTGAGTGGATCGTTACGCCGTCTGGGTGGATCATTACGCCGTCCGAGCGGAGCGTTCAGCCGCCTGAGTGGATCATTATGCCGCCCGAGCGGAGCGTTCAGCCGCCTGAGTGGATCATTATGCCGCCCGAGCGGAGCGTTCCGTCGTCTGAGTGGATCATTACTCCGTCCGAACGGAGCGTTCTGCCGTCCGAGAGGGGCGTTCCGCGGCACGAGCGGAGCGTTCCACCGCCCGAACGGAGCGTTCTGCGACCAAAGCGGAGCGTGCCGCCGTCGGCAGCCGTACCCACCTCTGAAGATGTTGGCGAGGTACTCGCGGCAGTTTTCCGAGCCCTGCAGCAGCGGCTGGTTCTCCAGCTGGTCCTTCAGATAGCGCGGCGGCAGCAGCTCGCAACGCACCGAGCGCATGATGCACTCCATCTTGGGCTGGCGCGTCTTCTCGTCGTACTTGACCCACTTGACCACAGCCGCGTACACGTCTCGCTCATCGAACACGTTCAGCTCGTCTCGGTGGATCAGCTTGATCAGCTGCGTCGGATTGAGCATGAGGAACTCCTCTTCTTGCACGATCTGCCCGGCGTGGGGCAAGCGGTCAGGAGGGCTGCTGCGAACAAGCCGCCGACACAGGCCGCGGGACCGCACAGGAATTTCCGGCCCAGTACAGTCTGTCAATCTGAACGCCGCGTCAGTTTACCGTGTTCAACGGTGCCCGGTGTTGCACTGGACCAGTGACAATGACGTGTCATGTGACGGGCACTGCACTGACGTGCTTAGCGCTCATTTAGCATAATGGCGGTATATGACACAAAATATGGGCGGATTTATGGCACAGAATAAAGTGGACGCAATACATCGCAACACCATATGCTGCCAAGCAGACCGTCGGAACTTTGCACCGGGTGGATTCATTGGCACGCCCGGCCAAGAGCGGCACGTCGCCAGCCCTGTTTTCAGAACTGACTTGATGCGGCACGCATGACTCATTGTCCCGCGCCCAGCTGGCCGCCTGGCGCACCTGAGTGAAGTGCTGCTCGATGAATTGCGTGGCCGTGTGTAGCAGCTCCATGCAGCCGTGCTGCTCGGCGAAGGTGGCGATGCCGATAGCGTTGCTCGGCTCCAGCTGGTTCCTGAGGAAGTTGCAGCACACCTCGACCACGTGCTGCATCTGGGAACGGCACAGCACACGGTGTGACAGAGACGCGTCTGGAGTGGTGAGGTGACGGCTGATGGCCGCAAGAACATGTTCCGGCGCCCTGCTGCCAGTGGCAGATGTAACGACGAAAATCGAACTTCGTAATGCTGCAGGGTAAGCGATGTTGTGTGACGAATTGCCCGAAGTTCCGTACACTTGTGACACCTGTGTCCACATGCCAATTTTTTGCTGGCCAGCTACTGACGTCAGGGTAGATTCAACGCAAAACTGCGCCGTTTACTGCGTCCGATAAAAGTGATACGGGCGCGATATCAGACACGCCACAAACACACCGACAACAGCCATGGCGGCAGTTGGACGGGGTCACGCACGATAGCACAGCGCCACAAACTCATGTTATAAATCCGCTTCTTGCAAGATTCCGCTCCACCGATCTGAGAGACCACCGACACCACATGTTGCATCATCAGCGCGTCGCCGGCACGCGACGCGTCCGATGACCTGCCGCTTGCAGGCAGCCATACCTGGAACATGGTGGCGGCTGGCAGCAGGGCGCACACCGTCTGCTCGTTGACGGTGATCTCGCCGGTGTAGGCGAACAGCAGCAGGCGGCTGAAGGTGTAGGTGCACACGCCCTGCAGCTTGATGGAGCTCATGGAGCTCTCTCGCAGACCGCTGGTGAACATGGCCTGCAGCGCACCGGCGCGAGGACGGGCGGGCGTCAGGGCGGAACCAAGCCAGTCATGTGGAACACATTGTCTTCGGGCACGCCGCGCAGTGGGCTGCCCTACACGTGAAATCGCGCGGCACGCTGTCGGCACGCCGTGCTGATCCCTCGCAAAAAGACAGTGCTCCATCGCAAAACAACCAAAAGGTAGAGCTCACCTTGAAATAAGGACTCGCTGCAGCCAGAACAAGCTTGTGCGCTTTGACGTCCTCCTCACTCTCCAGCTCGAGAACCACGTCCGTCAGCAAGCCGTCACCGCGCATCTTGAACATCGTCTTGAAGGCGTCCGTCAGGTACTTGGGCATCTTGAAGTGCATCTCCCTGGTGTTCCTGTTCTCAACCGACTTTCTCGGCTTGAAGCAGTTGCCACGGCACGGCCTGGCGGCCCCCTCGGCGGGGCCGGCCACCGGACCATCCCCTTCCCCTCGGTCGGACATCGCTGCAACAGAACACCGCATCTGTCGCTCAGTACAACTGCCTCGCACAAACAAACACCGTTGAGCATCAGCTGCAGGAATAATTACCGAACGGCAGACATCACAGCGCATTATTAGGCTGCCTGTTACACCATGCACCTTAGTTTCATTCTAGAGAGCAATGAAGCGAGACCTCAGGAATTAAACAATACTCAGTTTGTCACGGTCATAACATCTCGCAAGAGTTGTGCTCGGCTTGACAAGACTCAGAATTTTTCAAATATTTCATTCAAACATAATGAATGGGTGAATTTTTAGGATCTCAGCTACGCAGGCACTGCTTCTTGTTTGAGCCCTGGCTCCCTACCATCGATCGCACAATTCCAGGCCAACGGCAGAATTTAGTGGCGAAAGTCCAAAGTGGCCGCAATGCTCGGCACGGTTCGCCCTGTTCGCTAACGTTTCTTGACTTTAGCGCGGCCGCTGCCACCGGCGCAGGTCATACCTGTCAAGCCCAAAAAGCGAGCACATAAAGCGACTGGAACCCATCTCACCACGAGTGGATGGATCAGAAGGCAGGCGCTCTAACGAAATGAGCCCTCAGGGAGGACCAAACAGAAAGCGCGAGTTGACCCGTTTCGGTGTGGCCATTCAAAGAGCTGCTAAGGAGCCAACAAGGGAAAGGTCATTGAAGTATTTGTTTATTGCTGAAAGCTCAGACAAGCAGCTTGTTTCAGGCAAATTAACAATTTGCACCTCTTCTGCACCATTGGAATTGTCTCTCACTGTTCCGACTTGTAAGTGAGCTGTTGATGACATAAGGCAATGTGGACATATTTACACCAATTACAACTTAACATCTACAACTGTGTATGACTGATCCAGCATTTATAAGATACCTGATAAATCATGGCACAGAAGAGTTTGATATTGGTCATGGACATGAGCATTGAATCTCAGAACATGTGAGGGAAAAATGCCCTAAGCAAAAGTACAAACCAGCATCCAAACAACAGCACATCTAAATAGCAGGCATGTTGAGCCACTCATTTATACTTAAAGATGCACACTGAATGCCAAAAAATGATGCTTTTCTGTGTAATGGTGACAGCAGCATGAAATGAAATAAAACAAGCTGTGTGATATGATGCAGCAGGAAAATGCTAGTGAACATGAAAATGTCATATGTATCAGCCAGGACACATCAAATTTGACAGGTCTCTATAGATATCTTGACCCAGAAAATGTCCTCTCACACCTCAACTTCCTGGCCGTCACTTTTAGGTGAACCATTGATAGTCATACTCCAAAAAAATATGTGTTGGGCTGAACATGTCCAGTGCAAACAGCAATATAGCAGCAGCAATCTCTGTGCATCTATAATGTTAATTGACATTTAGAATTTGGTGCACAATCACTACCAATTTCAGAGCATATAGAGCCTATATTTCATGAAAATATGAATATTGTAAAAGTATCTTTGGCAACAATAGTTTGTGATGATTTAACATGAAAAATCCAACAAAAATTTGGTCTGGCCTGAATTTGGCACACACAAGCAAGAGGTTCAATACACTGAAGTCACATACATGTTCTGTGTACTAAACTACAGACATGTGCCTGGACCCCAATGCTGCATTTAGAATCACATAATGTTACATAATAATAACATCCTGGAATCTTGTAAGGAACTTCAGCCAGATGTGTACTGGATTGTATGCAAAACCCAGAACTCAAAAATAAATTACACATTTGTCAATGCCATGTTGGTCTTCTGTTTACAGCATACATAATTTCAGCACTAAATGCACAAAATGGCCTATTTACTTTCTAAGTTGTCAAAATATTTGGTTAATAAATTGTACAATTTGCACTCATAGATTAACAAGTACTGAGAATCTTAAGCAAACATGGCACGCACAAGTAATGACAACATTATGCAAATGTGGCATACATGACTTAATCAACACTATTTATCCATAACATCCCCAGAACACCTAACTTTCCATCCACTCACCGGATTGTCACGTCATTTGATACCGCTGACCGACTTCGAAGATGTCGAAAATGCAGGCCTTTCCTAATAGTATGGTGGCGACCAAGCAGACTTCTCAATAAAGCCCACTCTAGAGGTATTCAACAAAGGCACCAAACACGTACGAGCGTATTCGAACATATGCACTAAGGTTCATCTGGAAACAGCCTGACATCCACCACCCTCCCACACGTCCACCGCGCAGAACATACACCATTCCAATGACATCTGGGTATTGGTGCGCAAGAGTTGAAATGAGTCATATATGTCTCAAACGTCTCAAATGCGGCATCCCAGGCACCAAACCAAAAGTACCAACTTAATATCATTTCTGACCTTGTAGGGCATCAACAACATCTTCCTTAAGTAGTTTTATTAACCAAATTATTAAGCGGATTGGATCATATGCATTTATCATGGTGATGCATTCATACCGCTTTGACAGTTCATGATGTTCAACCACCAAAACGATGAGATGTATTAACAAAACAAAACAAGCCAACCTCTCCCACTTACGAGCCCTCAATTCTGTCTCCCTGGAGAGCCGATAATTTCATGTCGTGAAATATGTATGGTATACGGAAACATGCAATGCTTTGCTTTGATTACTACGCGTAATGTTTATGGCACTAATTTAGGTCAAGTTATGCCAGGTGCCTCAACTGAGAAACTACTGAAACTACCAAGAAGCTGCACACTTGAAGCGTGTTTTAAGTAGGTTATACCAAATATAACTTTTGTTTTTGAAAAGAATACGACGTGGCCCACTGAACTTAGTATCATGAGAGGTTTCAGAGAGTATGTAAAATGTGAAAATTAGAGCGCACTTATTCATGTGGATGTTATTAAGTTTTGAGCGTCTTCAGTCACAGTCGAGGGTCTCGTACAACATCCAAATATTTGCCAGATGACGCGCAATGCAACGGCGTCGCACGCGAGCCTCGCGAGTGGGCGCTCGGGGGCAGGTTTTCGTTTCGTTGGATTTGATTGACGAGATAGTCCGACATAGGGCTGAAGGAGAGGGCCGGTCGTAGATTCCTAAAGTCTGCAGCGGTATACAGTTACTGCATGCAGGAATATTGTTGAGAAGGAGACAACTGAAGAGGTAGTCGAGTTATAAGGCAGGTAGGTCAGGGTATACATTGCTACCTCATGTTAAGAAAGAGAAGGGTATACATTGCTATTGCAGGGTAAGGTAATTGCATTGCTGCATTGCAGGGTAAGGGTAGAAGAGAAGGGTATACATTGCTACCTCATGTACATCGACCGTCGTTTTTTAAGGCAGAACATATCGTAATTAATCGTAAAACAGGTCGCCTAAACTCCTACCGTGGAACTCAAATAACTACGATAGCGAACATCCGAGCGCAAACACGCAGCAACCACGACCCCGGCGCCATTTCTACGCGTGATCACATTACTGCGTGATCACAACATTGCTGTACATCAAGCACCATAAAAATGTACAAGGCCAAGGTAACAAGAATCCAATAAAATGTGTTTCTTGCATATCCAATCAGCCTTCTGTATTGTTTGTAGATTGGTCAACATGGTGGGGAAATATGACATTTTTGGGTGGGAATGAAAAGCAAGATGAGAATATGGCAGCTAAACAAAACTTCTTAATACAGCACATATATATGGCAGGGAACATGGATGCTAATGGGACACTGGGTTGAAGGGGGTATGGTGGGGGGGGGGGGGTTAGGTTAGGTTAGGCTAGGCTAGGCTAGGCTAGACTAGGCTAGAACATAATATAAATAATCTTAAAACAGGTAGATTAATGCTCCTACCTTCAAAATTTAATAGCTACAATAGCGAGCTCCCAAGCGCCACACGCTTCCCACCGCCTCAACTCCCTAGCACCGTTTCTGCCTTATTGTTGCATAATTACAATATTTCTGCTTATCAAGAACCATAAAAATGTTTGCGACCAAGGTAGCAATAATGATGCAATGAAAAACATTTCTTGTCATGTCTAGGTACATTTATGAAACACAGGCCAGAATATTCCAGAACATAGCCCAAACCAGCCTAACCTAACCTAGCCTAACCAAACCAAACCAAACCAAACCAAACCAAACCAAACCAAACCAAACCAAACCACACCAAACCAAACCAAACCAAACCTAATGTAACCTAACCTAACCCCCACCCTATCCTCTTCAACACAGTGCCCCATTGGCATCCATGTTCCATGTCATATATATGTACTGTATTAAGAAGTTTTGTTTAGCCACCATATTCTCATTTTGCTTGACATTCCCACCCAAAAACATCATATTTCCCCACCATGTCAACCAATCTACAAACAATATGAAAGGCTGCTTGGGTACCCAAGAAACACATTTCACTGGATTCTTGTTACCTTAGCCTCATGCATTTTTATGGTTCTTGATGACCTGTTTTACGATTGATTACAATATGTTCTGCCTTAAAAATGACAATTGACGTACATTGCCCTTTTTTAACATGACAGCAATGTATAACCTGACCCTGGTAGCTCAGTAGTATGTCTCTAGTTTAAGTGTGTGGAGCAACAAGGCACATGTATCTAATTTGTCATGTATTGCTTGCAAAGCTTGGCTTTTGTGTAAAAATTACATCATGTCTCATGCATACCAATTGATATTATCTTAGCCTATGCTTATGCTTCACAACAAAGTCTTGTAACCTTTTGTTGTATGTCATCCAATATGGTAGCTTGTATTCCATATTGATTGGCTGCTCTTTGTTTAGAAACTAATATTCACC